GCACTGAGGGGGTCACTAAGCAATGGACTGGCCCACTATTTGCAGATGCTGGCTCACTAGCTGCCTCTCAGAGTCTGGGCCTTCATCCAACTTTCCAGGATCTGGTAAGCCTGGCACTCTTCATTCCTGTGGGATGGAGCAACCCAAAGGGAAGGGGAATATGAGACAGGGAGTTAGAACTACCCACATTCTTTCATACACACCAGTATTTTGAAAATTTCTTTCCCCCTCCCCCCAAGCTTTATTTCTTTATTTTAGAGAAAGAGATTGAGAGCAGGAGCACGAGCTGGGGGAAGGACAGAGGGAGAGAGACTCCTTCAAGCAGACTCCCTGCTGAGCACAGAGCCTGATGCCTGATGCCAGCTCAATCCCAGGACCCTGAGATCATGACTTGAGCTGAAATCAAGAGTCAGATGCCCAACCAACTGGGTCACCCAGGTGCCCTAGTATTTTGAAGATTTCTAGTTAATAAATAATCTATTTTAACAATACCTCCCAAAAGAAAACATTTTACAATCTAATCTAAGTTTCTTTTACTATTGTTTAAAATCATTTACTTTTTTTAGGACAACCATGTGTGTTAAAAACATGCAATTTCAGTGGAGAAGACCACAGAATATTGCTGCTGGAAGCAATCTCTTCTTCACTGCAAAGATGATGAGTCCAAGGCCCTAAGATGGTTTTAAAATCACGGATTGATATTTAAGTCCTTTCCCCAATACTTACTAATGATGTGACCTTGAGCCAGAGACAGGATCAACTCCTTCCTCCCCAAAACAATACCTACCCAGCTAAATGATGTATTCTATGTGAAGTGCCCAGAAAAAGTCCTGGGAGGAGTAAGTGGTCAACAAATGGTACTGCCTTCCCTTGGGCAATACGTTCCATTGTTTAGCATAGAACTAGGTCCAGAACCTTGTTTTCTGATTCTCTTGTGTGTGTGTGTACATATGTACACATATATCACAGAAGCACTGGTAACGTTTGCTTCCCTGGAGTAGCTCGGTCTAGTCTAGTCATCCTGTAATTAGGTAGGGCTTTATCGTTTTCAAAGCACTCACTTAGATGCTATCGCTCACTCAGGGACCACATGGAAACGTTCATTATACAGGGGTGGTATTCCTAGGCCCACTTTGCACGTCAGGGATGGGAGGCCAAGAGAACATGGTTTCCTTCAGTCCCCTGGCTAGCCTGGGGCAGAACTAGACCACCACCCACATCTTCTGCCTCCCTACCTCTACCTCTTTCTACTGGTACGCAATGCCTTCCCATTCTAAAGGCCAGACAGTTCCACCAAAGAGATAAGGAATAGTGAAAAAAATACATGTGGGGGGTGATAAATGACATAAGTAACCGACAGTCCTGATTAGATAGGGAAGAATTGGACTTTGATATGATTGAGCAAAAGGCAAAGAGAGAACACTGACAAGGCAGTAAACAACTCATTAGGAGGGAATATGGGACAATGGGGGCTGGTGGTCACGGCTGACCCCAGTGTAACTCTTTCCTGTCAGATAACTACTGGTCACCCTAATCCTGAAATTCTGCAGCCCCGTCCTTTCTGACTCCATCTCTCCAGCGTCCTAACTGCCCATATGTTTCCTCAGACAAGACAAACCTTGTTCTTTATCACGTTCAAGCTTTAGCTGTTTCTAGTCTCAAGGGGATGGTATTTCTAAGCCCTAGAATTTAGGTCATTTTACATTCTCACCATCCTTCTGCACATAGGTCTTCTAGTCTGATGCACTGGATCAGATGGTATGGAGTGCGGCTTAGCCATGTGGCAGTCTGGCATATCTAGACTTTTCTTTCATGTTACTTCATGGAGCCTTCATTGAACCCGCAGTAACAAATCACCACCACCACAACTTGGTACTTTTTTTAATATGCATTCTCTTATTTGGTTTGATTTTATTTGATTCTCACCTCAACTTTCTCTTCCCACTTCTTAGATTAGAAGTGTCTTGACAACAGGCCTGACTTCCTCGTCGTGTATTCTCTACAAAAGTATCCTCTCTGAGAAATGCCTCTGGAGCTAACCAAATGCCTTGTTCAGAGAACCTCAATACACACTTTGGGAACCATGCTGAAATAACACTAGCTCCATCCCTGGGACCAAAACAATGACTGCTGCTTTCAGGTTGCTGACACCATCCTGACTCCCACAGCAGATCTCAAGACAGTAAGGAAACATCTGCACCACAGGTTGGAAAAGAGATCGTAAAATGCCTTATTGACCCAATCATGGGTCTTCCTTGCATCATGTAGATGTGGCCCCTTTTTATGAAAGTTCTCCCCCTATAATATTACTAACATTCTACTGAGTGTAACTCTGTGATCCAGGAGATTTATTTACGTGTTACAAGTCTGTCTGGGGACTCAGACCTCATAGTGCTCATGAATACGTTGAATTCGTAGCCCATCATACTCAAATCAGAACTATCTGGGGTGGGGTGGGGGGAACTGGACAATAAACATGGCAGTTATTGGAGGTAGTGACAGAAATGCTCATGGATTACATCTGATTTTTGCCTGTAGGAGAGTCTGCACTTGGAAACCTTTAAGCCAGAAGCACGCATTCAGATCAGGCCATTTAATAAAAATGTCCTCTGTGCTACACCCCCCACCAGATGTCATTTCATTCCTGCCTCTGAAGCAGTTTTGGGTGGAGGCATCACCAGCCCATTTTACCAATGGCAACAATGAGGATTGGAGAGGTTGGAGGCTTCGCCAGGGTTTCACAGCCCCCGAGTCCCACGCTCTTTCCACATATCATGTCCTATCTCAGTTTTGAGCAATTGACTAAGTTAAGAGACTTAAAAAACAAAACAAAACAACCTTGCAGGCCGTCTGTGTTGCTCAGGCCCTACTGTCCCTCTAAGCTCCAGGAAGCCTTGCCCTTGCTTTCCTGAACTTGGAGTTTCAGTTGGGCATCCAAGCCCGGAGGCGGCCAAATGCTGATGCCACGGAAGCAGCAGCAGGTGGCACCCATCAGGGGTGAATGTGTTCACGCTCCTCTGCCATGCCTGGCCAAGCTGTTGTCCACGTGAAATGATGCCCAGCCAGAGCAGGGCCACCCGGGTCTGCCGACGCAAGGCATTCTTCTCTGATGAATGCAGGTTTAATGTCCAAGGTTATAAACCGCTGGGAGGGGGAGAGGGAAAGGGCTCATCTATGCTGTCTGTGGTTGCCAAAAGGTAAGAAGCTTTGCTTTAGATCGCTGGCTTGGAGGAAACAGGAGTCCCCATGTAGCTGTCCTGTGATTCTAGGCAAGTTACTACCCTCTCCGAATGAGTTTCCCTATCCAGAAAATAGGAGTAGGAAACCTCTCCTTACAGGAGTGCTGAGACAGCAGATCATGTATAAAAAGAACCAGATGCATCCTAATACCTTAAAAAAATAGTTATTATTACTATTGCTGTCATTGTTATAACAAGAATAATTCATGCAGGTGGCTTAAGTTAAATTATTTCTACCCTGCATCTCTTGGCAGGTGGCATGTTTTAATCACGATTCTGACACTCCAGTCCTGACCCCCACAACAGCTGTCACTAACCCTGCTCTCTGTTCTATCATCGCTATCCTCCATTTTCTTCCTCCATTCTCCTTTGGCAAAAATCAAATCTGATGAAACTGACATATCCCCAGATGAGGTCATCTTGATCTGATGAATCAGGCAGCAGGGGCTTGCATGAGCATCAGGTGGAGATTGGGAAACCAGAAAGTGTGCCTTCAGGGGGCATGTGGAGTCAAGAATGCTGATGACCTTTACTTGGCCTGGCCCTTTGCTCTCCTTAGGACAGGCCTTGGCCAAAACTTCCCAGCCAAATGAACCTCAGTTTTGTGTTTCAAACATTTCAATTTCCTTTAATTCTCATGTTCAATGTCTAATGCTCTCCCACTTTTAGAAGCTGTCTGAGCCTAAACTCTATGAAGACAACCTAATTCTCAGCTTCTTTTTCCTTCATTCCATTGACAGTTCACTTACTAGAGCATCACACCCTATACCATTGAGCACTGTGGTTTTTAGGGTTTTTCTCCCCCTTCCATTTTATGAGTTATTTCGAAGGACTATATTCCTGAGAATTCTATGCTTTCCTGTCATCATGGTCATTCATTATTTTTAGATTTCCCCAGAACTTTTATTTGCCTCAGGAAGACAATTTTATTTGCTTTCTTTTGAATCAGATAGTAGTTTAGTACTCAGGAAAAAAAAAAATCCCTGTAAAATGAACCCTTACCCAGACAGTGCCATAACGAGGGAAGCTGATGGTGGCTTACACCAATCACTTTGAGTTGTATTCTAGTTTTTTACAAACGTTAAAGACAAATGCGTAAGGGGTAAGAAAGAATGAGAATGCGGTAGTTACAGTGTGTTCTGGTATTAAAAACATCAGGGGCCCAGCTTGATTTTGGAGGACAAGGAAGGAGCTCATGCCTATTGCGTACAAGCACTCTACAGCCTCATTCAATGCTCTTGTGAAGTTGAGATCCCACTTTATAGAGGAGGATATTATGGCCCAGAGAAGTTGGAAGGGAGGAAGGGAGAAAGAGAAGAAAAAGAAGAAAGAAAAGAAGGAAGGAAGGAAGGCAGGCAGGCAAGAAAGAAAGAAAAAAGGAAAGGAAAGCAAAGCTTGGCCAAGGTCATTTAGTAAGTGCTAGAGCTAAGGTAACATTGTTCCCAGGTTCTGTTGGTGGCTCTAGAGCTCTGTCATTTACTAACTCTGTGACTTAGGGGAATCCCCTAATCCTCTGTGCCTGTTTCCTCACCTGGAAAAAACAAACTGTCTGCATTAAGAACTACACGGCTCCCCTATAGCTTTAACATTCCCTGAGTCCGGTGAGTATGTGAGCATGATCGGGATTGGGTGTTTATGAGCCAATCAGGCACTGGTTAAACACCTCCCTATCAGGCCAAGGTGGGAAGGGGAGGGTGAAAGTTAAAAAAAAGAAGAAGAAGAAAGAAAGAAAGAAAAAAAAAAAGCAATCCAAAACCAACAAACAAACTCTGACAGGAGGTCTATAAAAACTGCGTGTTCCCAAAGGTTCGTCCTATTCGAAAGCCGCTGCCTCGTCCACAGCTTCTGAACCCTAAGAGGCCTCTCCTCTCCCAAACTGTAAGTAACAGAACTTCCTTTGTCTGCCTGGACTGCACCAGGGAGTGAGGGTCACTGATGGTCCTACACATGTAGCCGAGAAAGTCTGCTTGCTTTTATTTTCAGGAAAAACTCGATGGTGGCCAACATGTGTTGGTGTGCTGAAATGGTTGTTTTCCTCCCTAAGCGTAAATAAATGCTCATCCACAGCTTTGCTGACCCTCTGGGTGGAGGCAGAGTGTTTGAGACCGTTCCCGGTGTTACTCGTATGAAGGCTCTTCTGTCTCTGACTTCAACACACTTTCTTGGTTAGGTTCTAATCATTCCTCATTCCTCCTCTCCCCAAAACAACTGCTTATTTTGATGATTTATTTACAGACCTGTTGTCTTATGTCATTTTCTTTATTCTCTTCCTACACCCACTAGTGTTGGCACTTAAGGTTTTTGGTCACACAAATGGACTCCTGGTGTGTGTTGCCCTTGCCTGCTCCCACTGCTCAGATGAGAACGCATGGAACGGGCGTCGAACGGCCACAGAGCCCCGCAGTCATTGGATTATGAATCGTCCAACTTCCACTCATTTGATAGTTCCTGTAACATTTCCTACTTTGGAAATCCTACAGCTTAAGTTATTTGGAGTCAAAAGCAGGCTGATGTCCTTTGGGACATTTGCTCTACTCTCTGAAAAATAGACATGTTGTGCGGATAGACATGTTGTGCCTTTTAAAATAAACTTCTCTCTAAATAGTTACCCAGGGCTCCATTCGCCAGTTTGGACCTGGAGGGGGAGCGAACTCCAGCCGCCTTAGGTGAAGGTGCATCTGGGCACCACCCAGGCCTGCGCTAGAGTGCCAGGTGCTAAGTGCAGTATAGCTGTTGTAATCCTAAAAGAAAGGGAGCCACTCAGTTCTCTTTCCGAGCTACCTCACGTGGGTTCAAAGGCACCAGGCTGTCCTAAGGCATCTCATTGCATTTGTCACTGTGACACTGAGGACGGTAATGAAGCTGTGAGCATCCTCACACGTCTGTATATAAAAACCTTGCTCACAGTGCCTGCAGATCACAGGCTTTCAATGCATAAGCCCCTCATGTCCTCTTGAAAACCCATCCACCTTGCCTGTTGGAGAAGTGAATGGACTCTCTACTTTCTGATATTTCTTCAAGAGTTAAATATTCATATTTTACAAGGCATTCTCCTTTCACAGAACCTCTTGAAGAAAGGCAGAACGAACCGTACTGTAGGTTTCACGTGCTATTTTGCTAAAAAGGATTGGAAAAAGGATTCTGAGTCATAAGCCAGTAGGATGTGGTTTATAATTCTAGAGCATCACAATTTGGAAGGGGCCACCAGACATAGTCTTTCGGAGCCTCAGTTCCCCCATCTTTAAAGTTGGCAGGGTTGCTATAGATATCCCTGAAGTCATTTGCAGCTGTTTTTCTGTGATTGCTTTCTATTCTCATATTTTCATACTCACAACCTCTTCCAGATTTGTGTATATATCACCTGTTAATGTATAATACATAATGTCATATATACGCCTATTTGAGAAATTAACATTACAAAAAATTTATAAAGTAAAACGTGAGAGTTGGTCCATCCCATCCCAAGCCCCACAGGGAATCCCAGGGTGGTTATTCTCTGCTTATATACATCCACAAATAGTATGTGTTACATCATTTTTTTAATTAAAAAAGTATGATATTATGTATTACATACTTCTCTGAAACTTGCTTTTTTCCCCTTTTTATTTAGTAATATGATATGAACAACTTCCCATCACACTTTAAAATCAAATTGGCTTGAGACCACGGTGAGCAGAGGCTTTTAGCAGCATGAAACCATTCTCTACAGTTACCTACTCCCAGCTGGCCTCCTGTCTCCTGGGGACGAACACTGGTCTGTGACCCTGTTTTATGATTAACAGAGGGGCAACATTTGTGCTGATGTGGTATAGACCTTTAATCCCTCTGTAGAAGTTTAACTTCCCGTAAACAGGATTGGTTCGATTTGACCTTTTCTCTGTTTTTTTTTTTTTTTTTCTGGTCGAGTCAGCACACTGACTCGATGGAAAAAAATAACTTGGTAGTAAATAGAAACACGGAATTTTAGGTAATTATTTTTTAACAAATTTAAAAAGAGAGAAATGGTGACACCAACATTTTCTTTTCTTTTCTTTTAAGATTTTATTTATTTGACACAGAGAGAGACACATAGAGAGAGAGGGAACACAGCAGTGGGAGTGGGAGAGGGAGAAGCAGAATTCCCACTGAGCAGGGAACCTGATGCAGGGCTTGATCCCAGGACCCTGGGATTATAAACTGAGCTGAAGACAGATGCTTAATGACTGAGCCACCCAGGCGCCTCAATACCCAACTTTTTCATAATGCATTATAAAACATCTTCATATTTATCATGAAATTGACTCTACAAATATATTGAGCAACTACAATGAGTAGGGTGGTCACAGGTCACAGTAGATCCACTTGGCAATGAGACACCCAGAGCAGATATTAGTGCCATTTATTCCACAGTAAACTAAGACTCAGAGAAGTTACTGACTTGTCCATGGTCTCAGTGAGGAGGAAGCAGAGCTGGTCCTTGAACCCAAGTCTGTCTGATCTAGTAGCTAAAACCTGTATGAATGTGTGAGATGTTTATGAATTGACAAGGTCCATGGTATATGGACAATGAGCCACAGCCCATGGACTTTGGGTACTCTGGGGGTATCCTCAACAAGTATTCTGGGGGTGTTATCAAGAGTCACACAAAGACTGATACCTTTCACCAGGCTCACTCTTTCCCAGAAGGAGGGGAGTATTACCCCTTATCCCAACTCTATGCCTTATTAGTTAATTGTCCTTGGAAAAATAATTAAACTCTCTCATGTTCTTTCCTTATCTGTTTTGTGGTAGTGGTGGGCGAAGCCCAGCTGCCTTTTGAGGTTATTATGAGTACTGAATTATATAGTACTTGTAAAGCAATTAGCAGAGTACTTGGCATTAATGGTGATTTGCTATCATTGGGCTATGTTTTCCTTTTGTTTCATTAAGGAAACATCTTTATTTCGTATTTGTGAATTCTTTTATGCAATTACCTAAACTAAGAGAGAAAATTTGCACTTTGGCCTGAAGGTCACCAACTTCAGGTTGTTTTTTTCCACATAAAGATCTAGTGACCAGATTTATAGCAAGTAATCCCAGACTATGATATTGCGAACTCATGTGTAACCAAGGGGAAACATGATCTTCATGTGGCTGGGACAGGAGTGGCCTAGGAAGAATATCTTCTCTAGAGATCATTGGCCACTAGCCTGTACTGTCCTCAGGGACAGCACTGTAGTTCCAGGCTTTTGGGTTAAGATGAGGACCCTTGTTGAAGTGACAATGGCATCCGTGATACCAACAATATTTTTTCAAGAATTAGTTCCATAGCCCCATCCACTTCTTACATCAAGCCTGCCTTGAAGCAATGCAGAAAATGTGAAGAAATTGATTTGCCATCAGGGTCAGGACTGGGTGGGGAGCTCTGCCTCACCATAGCTGAGACTTTGGACAAGTCAGTTAACTTCTTTGAGTCTCAGCTTGCTCATTAATTAATGGAGATACTAGGTGGCCTGGTTACCTCATTGCTGAGTGGATCAAATGAGAACTGAGGTATCCTGGGCTTGCAGGAAGTAGAAAGCAGACATGGGATGTCTACCCTACGGATGAGTGTATGAGAGGGGGAAGAAGGAGTAGGTCATAGGACTGGATAGGAAAAAACTCAAGATAGTCTTTACTACCTTTTTTTTTTCTTTGATAGTCCAACATACACAAAATTACTCTTTCTAACATCCAAGATGTGAGCCCTGTGTGTTTGCATTTTTTAAAAAGATTTTATTTATTTATTTGACAGACAGAGATCACAAGTAGGCAGAGAGGCAGGCAGAGAGAGGTGGGGAAGCAGGCTCCCCGCTGAGCAGAGAGCCCGATGCAGGGCTTGATCCCAGGACCCTGAGATCATGACCTGAGCCGAAGGCAGAAGCTTTAACGCACTGAGCCACCGAGGTGCCCCGTGAGTTTGCATTTTTAAGACTGGCCCAAAGTGGCAGCCCAACAAGAACAATGATCCCCTTCAGAGGACCACCACTGAGGCGGGTGCTTGGATGGGGTTCTTCAAAAAAGAGTCCTTCCTTGCTAGAGCAATGAAGCTAAGAATTCCTGGGGCAGGGATCACCATATGACTTTTGCACCTTAGAGTCCATGGGAGCCTCCAGCCCAGAGGCACTAAGGGAAAATCCCTATCTATCCCAAATGGTGTCATAGTCAGAGTCCAGCCTTATACACCACACCCTCTATGTCCCAAAGCTAAGGGAGGGTAACTGCAAGGCCATCTCCTCTCAAGCTTGCTACCCAGAGAATAACACAGGCTAACAGAACAAAATAGGAGATGACCCTAGAAGCTAAAAGTCTCAGTGTCCTGGCCTCAAGTCACCCAGAGCACACAAAGGGACCAGAAATCCACAGAGAGATGGTCAAGCATCACAGTGCTGTCCATTCATCAGGTGTGAGTGGGTCACGAATGAGCTGGCCCAGTCTCTGGTTCAGTGAACCCAAAGGTCTCCTGGAAGACATTCTCTTTAGGATGACCAGGAAATCTGGCAGCCCACCTTCATCCACTATGGCTAATTGCAACCACTTAAGCTAACAGGGGGACGAGCCCAGAACTCAGTTGTTCATCCAGTTATGGAAGTGGGCCGGAAGTGTCAGAGGAGCCTTGAGAGGGTTTGTTTGTACCCCTTCCCTGCCTCGGTCACGAACCTGTCTGAGCTGCCTGCAGTTCTGTTCAGGACACTCCTGCACTCTTTTCCAGACTAGTCACCATGGCCTACCGATTTCCAGCCCTCACCTCAGAACAGAAGAAGGAGCTCTCCGAAATTGCACAGCGCATTGTTGCCCATGGGAAGGGGATCCTGGCTGCAGATGAGTCTGTAGGTGAGTGCAAGTCTCGTCCTACAACAAGCGTATTCTTATTTCTACAACTTAGCCAAGGCAAGCAACAATTACACTTTTTCCTCTCAGAGGAGTAAAGGTACACAGGTGTGGGAGCAGAAGACCCAGCAAGCATTGACATTTTGAGTCCTGTAGTTCTGGTAGGCAGATTTCTGAAAACCAAGGGAAGAGGCTCAAGGCCTCCATTTCAAGGCCCCTTGCCAGGGATCATTTGAATCTAGACTGTAGAAAGGCCAAGAACACAGGAACCAGATTGAGATCAGATACACAGACCTCTGCTGCTAATGAGAAGTCAGTTTAAGGTTAGCTAGGGAAGGGCAGGGAGGGCAGGGAACTGCCCACATCTAGGATAGGGAAGGGCTCGTGGCTGAAAGAAGCCCAGGATGGCACAAGGGAGAGTTGTGGCAGGCCTGTCTGGCCCACCATAAAATGGTAGAAGCCAGGGAAGTCAAGAGCCCACCTTATCCCTCCTTCTGTTGTACGTACATCAAGTCAGATTGATGGCTGGACCTGGGTCAGGGTGGTGGTGGCTGGAGAGGCCTGAGGGCTTGACATACACACTTGGACCCAATGGTGGTCTCCACCCTGACCTTGACACATCTAGTCTATACGCTTCCTAGCCAGCATCCCGGCAGCAGCCAAGGTCTTTCCCCTGGAGCCGAAAAAGGAGACAGGAGTTTTAAAGATCTAGATAAAAAAGAGAGTCTTGCCAACCATCCTGCTGAGGGTCCCTAGAGGGGAGGAGGCTGGCCACAAAGCCCTGGCTGGCTCCTCAAGCTGACTTTGGCCCGCCCACCGTAGGCACCATGGGAAACCGCCTGCAAAGGATCAAGGTGGAGAACACAGAGGAGAATCGCCGACAGTTCCGAGAAATCCTCTTCACTGTGGACACCTCCATCAACCAGAGCATCGGGGGTGTGATCCTGTTCCATGAGACCCTCTACCAGAAGGACAGCCAGGGAAAGCTGTTCAGAAACATCCTCAAGGAAAAGGGGATCGTGGTGGGAATCAAGGTGAACACTTCCATTCCCATCTCCCTTCTGCCTCATCCCAGTCAAACTCCCAGCTCAGTCGCTGGGCAGAGGCTATGAACACCCTCATTGTCTAGTTGCCATTCACTCTCTTTTCCTTCATCAGCCTCCCCCTGAGAGCCAGTTCCTTTTCTAGATTTTTCTGCCAGTGCCTTCTTCTTTCAACCAAGTTTTCTACAAGATATTCAATCTCCTGGTGTCTCAATTTTCTCACTTCTAAAAGGGGAATTGTAGTGCCTACCTCATAAGGCTCCTACAAGGACGAAAGGAGTTTTTAAAACAGTTCCGTCGCATAATTATTATTTAGTTCATGATCACTAGTGTGACTAAACTATTTTCAGGTGTAACTCAGTCTTCCGAAACTACATGAAATTCTCAGGAGTGAAAACTAATATCTGTTGAGTGCTTACAACTCCAAGCGCTCATTTAATCTTCCTTGTAACCTCTGGTGGTCAATTCAGTTCTTATCCTTGTTTAAGAGATGAGGTGAGAAAACAGACTTACAAGGCGTAGCGTAACTTGCCCACAACAAGGCAAAGACAGAGTCAGTTCAAACCCAGCCTGTCTACCTCTTGGGCTCATGACCTCAGCCTCTGCTATGCTGGGAGTTGAGGTTGCATCTTTATTCTTTCAATTTCCTGGAATAATGTTTTGCTCGGTATGTGTCAGTGCTCCCTAAATGTCTTTTGAACAAATAAGCTAAGAGAAGCTGCTCTTATATGGCCCCTCTGCATTCCAGGTATTGTCAGATTACTTACTCCCCAAGCTCCAGGCCTGTGCTTTCCATCCTTTCCATCTTCCTAGTGTTGACACTCTTGCATCGTTCCTTCTAGGTCCTTGCCTTCTGCTATGGATTTAATTGTGTCCCCCCACCTCCACCCCATGACTCATACACCTTCCTAATGTAACTCCTTAACTTGTGAAAGATGAGAACTATTTGTACCAGGGGCTCTGCTTTTGTTTTCCTGGGCCCCCTGACACCTGCTAATTACTTGTTAATTATTTATATTCACAGTTAGACCAGGGAGGTGCTCCCCTTGCAGGAACCAACAAAGAAACCACCATTCAAGGTAAGGCTATCACCTGCTGATATGAATCATGCTAAGAAATGCTAGAAATGCAGGCAAACAAAGAAGTGAGCAAGGGAAAACAAAGCATGAATCTCACCCTGGTTTTAGAGCCACATACACCTGTTTTTCAGCCCTTGCTTCTCTATTCAGTAACTATGTGACCTTAGTCTAGTCATGTTATGTACATGTTCTGAGTCAGAACAGGATGACAATATCTACTTTGCAGAGTAGTCACGGGGATTAATTAGACAGTGTACATAAAGTGCTTACCGCAGTGCTTTGCACAGAGAAGATATTCTGTACCTGAAAGTATAATTTTTAGAGAAAAATCCAGCAGCAGAAAAGAGGAAAGGTCCCAAGCTTTGGGATCGGACCCACCAGGGTTTGACTCCTGGTTCTGTCATTTACTAATTAGACAATTTTGCAAGGTCCTTCACTGCCCAAGTAGACAAATGTGAACCACAGCGTTAGATTAGTCAAGCAGAGTTTGAATCCCAGCTCTGTCACTTCTTAGCCATACAAACATGGTAAAGTCATGTAATGTCTTGGAGCCCCTGTTTTCACATCTGTAGAACAAGTATAACATCAACTATTAGAATCATTATGATAATTAAATGAGATAAGGTATGCAAAATGCCTAGAATCATGCCTGGAACAGAGCAAATATTAAACAAATATTAATTCCCTCTGTTCTTCTCCTTAAGTGTAAAGCCCCAGTTTGGGCTTAGTATTGGGATTAATGTTTTCTTACCTGGATATTTTCAATACTTAAGCTCTGCTGACTGAAAAGTAAGGCAAGGAAGAGCTCCTTCACTTTGACAGTGGCCCCATCTCTCTTTTCCGACTTGCAGGACTTGATGGCCTCTCTGAGCGCTGTGCTCAGTACAAGAGAGATGGTGCTGACTTTGGGAAATGGCGTGCTGTGCTGAGGATTGACAACCAGTGTCCATCCAGCCTTGCCATCCAGGAAAATGCCAACGCCTTGGCCCGCTACGCCAGCATCTGTCAGCAGGTGCTCTGCCTTCCCCTTGGGCTGAAAAGCAGTCAGAAAGAGCTTTCTTCTTTCCAATTTTACTATACCTCTCTTTCCAATTTTACTATAAGTACATGAGCCTTATCTCACCAATATATCCTGGTGCCATTTTCCACCACTTTTGCTATAGCAAAGTGTGGTAGGGAAAGATTTGGTCCCACAAGTCAGCTACGAGCCCACAAGGCCAATGCCATCAATGGCTGCCCTCTGCCAAAGTTCTATAAGCTGGGTCTTAAGAGTGATCCAGCCCCATATGGCCAGGTCATTGCTTACCTATGCTCCATCACGTCTAAAACACGATCCTTTTAGATCCCTAGCTTGAGAGTGATAGCTCTGATTTAGCCCCAATCCAAAGAATATCTTGGAGGATGGTGACCTGACACTAATTTCCAACAGTGTCTCTGGGATCCCACTTAAGTCTGATTTGCTTGTGTGGGTACTATGTTGAGGTTACCTGAGATGTGGGCACCTGGAGAGTCCAAATTAGAACTGTACACAGTGCTTAATTCCTTAATTAACCCACACAAGGGGTATCCTTCTTAGTGATTTAAATTTAACTGCCCCAAAAGGATGATAGTTGGGTTCTGAGGTAGTTAGAATAGTCTCTAAAAGAATCTGTTTCTATAGAAATTAAGGATTTCATTATTTTACGTACTCCCAGGAGAACTTTTTCTTCTTATTTTTAAACCTCATAGCTCTTTTTTGGCTAAGCTACAAATGCTTAGTAGAGATGCCATTAAATTTCTTTGCACTGCCTTTAAGTTAGTGAATGGCATTCCTCTATAAGGGTTTCATTTTATCCCAATCGCAACTGTCAAATATATTCTAAGGAAAGGATTGCAGTGAGCAGAGCCACATTTTATCTCCTCTTTTTTCCTTTTTAGAATGGGCTGGTACCCATTGTTGAACCAGAGGTCATTCCTGATGGAGACCATGACTTGGAACACTGCCAGTATGTTACTGAGAAGGTAAAGTCTTGAATAAAAAGGTCCCAATTCCAGTTGAAATATCTTATTTTTAGGTAAGAGCTGTTACTTAACATGTATCAGCTGTTATATTGAAATATTCTTCAGTTGGAATCATTATGTAGCACTGAGAAGGTAAGGGGATACTTATCAAACCTTCTACTTTTTCGGCATGATGGGATTTTCCTATGGGAAAAGCACAGGATTTGCAGTACCGAGACTTGGATTTGATAATCCTTATTCCCAGCTGTGGGGTTGTGGTTAAATCCTGTTATCTTTTGGGATCAGTTACATTATATGTAAACAAAGAAATTTAAAAGTAAGATGAGACTCACATGACAAAATGTAATTAGAAGGTACTTTGTTCATATTTGCAGTGCAATCTGATTTCACTTTCTCCACTTGCACAAGTAGGTTGACTGAGATGAGGTCTGAAAGTGCTTCTGTCTCTAAAATGTATGTTTTTATGACTACTCAAGCTTTATGACTACTCAAGTTTCTATGAGGATGGAGAGTAGAGGCCAATTTAGATGTCCCCAGCTAGCTAAATCAAGGCAGGCTCAATTGCCCAAAGGGAGTGATGGGAAGGAAGGAGTGAAGGGGCTCCTGGAAGCAGACCCATGCCATCTGTCCCTGCAGTAAGCAGTTAGAGTAGGGGAGGTGGGGCTAGGCCAGCGTGGCTGTGCTTAATGGCTGTGGCTTGCAGGTGCCTGTGTGTTGTCCTGATGAGGACTAGGGGCTGGTTAGGAAACTTTGGCCAAACCCATAGGAGGATTCCTTTGTCTCTCATCCCTGCAACCTAGAAGTGCTAAGGTCAGGTGACTGTCAGACTGGCTCTGGGTTTCACCTTTTGGATGTCTTGTCCCTCAGGTCCTGGCTGCTGTCTACAAGGCCCTGAATGACCATCACGTATACCTGGAGGGCACCCTGCTGAAGCCCAACATGGTGACTGCTGGACACGCCTGCACCAAAAAGTATACTCCAGAACAAGTGGCTATGGCCACCGTCACAGCTCTCCACCGGACCGTTCCCGCAGCTGTTCCCGGTAAGTCTTGCTTTCTTCTCTGACTTGAGGTCTTAGCCCTTATCCCGTGAAGGAGTTCCACCAGCATTGGTGTTGGCCTGGGAGTCTTCTATCCCAGAAACAGACCTCTGTCTCTCACAGGCGGCCAGCGCTTCCCTCACACTCCATGACACCACATTGCCTGAGACTGTCCAAATGCACACAATCCATTGATTTTCTCAATAGTTCGCCAGCCTCCTTATTTATTAAAGCCCTTCCCTCCTTAGCCCAGCTAACCTTGGCAAAAGCAAACTAGTTTTTCTAACCCAGTTCCATGCAAATCAAGTAGAGAAAGAATGGAGGCATTCTATTTCTTTTAGGCTCTGGCTTGCTTTCTCAAGCTGGGTAGAGAAACTGGGACTAGTAGAGTGCAATGGCTTCTCTTCTTCCAGGCATCTGTTTCTTGTCTGGTGGCATGAGTGAGGAGGATGCTACACTCAACCTCAATGCTATCAACCTTTGCCCTCTACCAAAGCCTTGGAAACTGAGTTTCTCCTATGGACGGGCCCTGCAGGCCAGTGCACTGGCTGCCTGGGGTGGCAAGGCTGCCAACAAGAAGGCAACCCAGGAGGCTTTCATGAAGCGGGCCGTGGTAAGATACTATTCCTTTTTTCTTTTTTTTTTTTAAGATTTTATTTATTTATTTGAGAGAGAAAGACAGAGAGCACAAGAGCAGGTATGGAGAGGGGCAGTGGGAGAGGGAGAGAGAGGATATCCAGCAGACTCCCTGGCGAGCACAGAATTGAGTGCTGGGCTGGATCCCACGATGTGAAATCATGATCTGAGCCAAAATCAGGAGTCAGACACTTAACTGACTGAGCCACCCGGGAGCTCTAAGATGCTACTACTTCTTACCTACTTAATCAAGTGGATAGTAGGAGCCTGGCTTTCTTACCTGGAGAAGCATTGTTTTCTTCAGGCCATGATGGTCTCTCAAGATAGTGTCTACTAGATATTTGAAAAGCTGTCATGAGAGCTCAGTAGGAAGGTAGAGGCTGGGGAGAGTTGTAAATGGTCTGCACTGGGAGAATGGTTGATGACAGTAGGCAGTAGACAATCTCCACAGAGACACTTGAGAGGGAAGAGAAGCACTTTTCATTTTAGGAAGCAGTAGAAGAAAGCCACTAGGACAAGCAGCAGTAATAAGATAGGATGTGCCAAGGATCCGGGGAACAAATAGAAACAAGTTTCAAGGGGGACAGTTAAAACACACTGTAGAGAGATTCAGAATAAAGACTGAGAAAAAAGATGAGATTGGCATGTGGGAACCTACTGATGACCCTCAACACAATAGTTTCCACAGAGAGAGAAGAGGAAAGATGCCCATTCAAGAAGGCTGTCAGGAAAAGGCCCAGAAAGAGAAATGAGGACAGAAAAGGATTTTATTTAGTCAGTAACCATTCCTTTTTGAATATCTACTCTGAGCCAAGGACTGGGGTGAACAAAGGAAACACAGATACCAGCTTCAGGAAGCTTAGAGTTTAGCCAGACAGGAGACAGCCAGGCATGTTCAAATGTAAAGCAAAAGGGTGATGGGTATTGAGGAGGGCACGTGTGGTGAAGAGCACTGGGTGTTATACACAGTTAACGAGTCGTTGAGTACTACATCAAAAACCAATGATGTAATATATGTTGGCTAATTGAACATAACAAAAAAATAAAGAAATTAAACGTAAAGCAAAAGGAGCCAGAGGAGAGATTAAAGATGAGGACAGTCGGGATAATTGAGAGGACAAGGAGGTAGAAGAAGGATTGTGTGAGACTATTAAGTGCAGGTGGCAGCTGATCTTGGAAAGGAGGGAAGAGCAAAGAAGAAAAAAAAGTTGGGTTTGGACTCAGGTCTGAAGAGGTGAAGGGATATGGCAGTTGATTACAGTCAAGGGCATCTGTTGAGGGGGATAAGGGAGTGGAGATTTCCGTCTTCACAGCAGGGAAGCTCGGGATAGCTGTTGAACTGGTCCACTAGGAGACCCACTAGACAGAATGGCCAAGTATCAGGCAAGATGCAGCTGAAATGAGAGTGAGTTTGAGATGCATTAACTTAGATCCTGAATTTTCCTAATAGCTCTCTTAATCATGCAGGAAGATCCAGAGCAATCTAAAAGGGAAATAGAATAGAAGTGTAAAAGTTCAAGAGGGAGACAGAAGAGTGCTGAATTTGAGCTATCGCCATATTTGGCTTGCTGATGACAGAGGAGGCTGGGCGAGGAATCAAGTGTAGCCAGAAGTTTGGCAATGAGGCACTAAAGGGAAGGCAGACCCCAGAGAAGCTTAGAAGCCATCTCAGGGGGATAAGAGAGGTGTAAGATGTTAGAGGTAGTGTCTTAACTTTGTTAGGATGGAGAACTGGGTGTGGCTGTGCTGGGATGTAGCCGATGAGGGGTGGCTAGATGTGGCTAATATGATGGGAGGGATTGTGAAAGTAAGGTTGGAAGAGTCATCCACACAAAAGAAGGGAAGCTGAGCTCGTTTAGGATGGTGGTTCTCAAGCTTGAGTATGTGTCTGAATCACCTGGATGGCATGTGAAAACAGATTCTGGGCCCCAGATACTGAGTTTCTAATTGAGACGGTCTGGGGTCAAACCAGAGAATTTCCATTTCTAAGAAGTGCTGAGGTCCATGCAACATGCTTTGAAAATCACTGTAGATATAGAAATAAGTCCCAGAGAGAGCAAGAGAATAGTAACAGCGACTTGAAGACATGGTACCATTGAATGGCACTCAGCTATTATTATGGCGGGCTTTATAATTCTGAACTCCCCTTTAACTGGAATTTACACAAGGAATCAAGATAGTATGATTACAACAACAACAAAATGATATAATCCTGTGGGCAAGTATAGGTGGAAAATGGAAATTTTTTTAAAAAGGAATTTTTTTAAATTTGCCGTGTCATCCCTCTGGCTGCACCTTACCTGATCCTTTGGCATAACGTCCAGTGCGTTTCCTAACAAACCGCAAGCTTCTCCACTTGAAACATCCATTCTCTTATCACTGTATCAATGAGAAGTTTCTCAACTTCAGTCTCTAATACTGTCGTTGCAATACTGTTGGTACTAAAAAAAAAAACTTTCTCAGTAACTGACACAGACTTCAGCTTGCCTGAGAGATGCTCAGAAAACTGGGATAAAAAAGGAGATGATGTATTAGAGAAGGCAAGGGAGGCTATCAGCACCAATATTTAGCAAAACCACTGTAAGGAGAGAGAAATCCAGATGCAGGTGGAGCTGGTTTCAAATGAGAGCCGGAGGGTCAAGTACAGGGTTGCTTTTGCTCTAACCCCATGTCCTCTCTCACGCTTGTTTTTTAGGCTAACTGCCAGGCAGCCCAAGGACAGTATGTTCACACAGGCTCTTCTGGCACTGCTTCTACTCAGTCCCTCTTCACAGCCTGCTACACCTACTAGACCCCCAGGCCCACCAGCCGGCCTCCAGCTCTTCTGGGTGCCTTGGTGGGAGAGCTGAAAGAGAACAACTTTTCTACTGTCCCTGGAAATTAGACAAAATCAGATCGGAACTACTGGAAACACAACACATGCTAAATTCTTAGACACAACAACAACAACAACAAAAATCAGTTCCTGAAACGTAGGTGTGAATATCAAGGATCTGATGAAATTTCATGCAACTTCCTTGCAACAGCTCCAGCTCCCCAGGCCCCAGGTATCCACCTAAGAAAAGAACAGACTTGAAAACAAACCAGCTCTCCATTTGAATAACGACCACCAGATAGAACACCTCAGAAGCTGAGTGTGGAGAAGTGTGTCTTATTTAACAATCATAGCAGTGGTATGATTATGCAGTGGTTATGAAGGAGGCAACTGCAACCGACAAAGAAATAAAATGTTCTAGAAGCCTCTAGCTGGTATCGGGTTTTACTTTCTGCTCCTGCTTCCAAAGGGCTCAGTATAGTTCCTGACCTTTGCCTCCACAAGACTTGACTGACATTAATGGTCAGGGTCCTCAACTTGGGCTACTCACTGAAATCATCTGCCCAAAATGTAAAAACCCAGATGTTCAGGCCACGCTCAAGCCCAGTTAAATCAGAAACGCTGGATGTGGGATCCTCTAAATGTCAGGGTTTCTTAACAGCTTCTTTGATGATTTCAAAGTATAACCACATTTGAGAACTACCACACTAAGTTTCAATTCTGAGGATATTTTATTTTATTAAAGATTTTATTTATTTATTTGACAGGCAGAGATCACAAGTAGGCAGAGAGGCAGGCAGAGAGAGAGGGGGGGAAGCAGGCTCCCTGCCCAGCAGAGAGCCCGATGCAGGGCTCGATCCCAGGTCCCTGAGATCATGACCTGAGCCAAAGGCAGAGGCTTAACCCACTGCGCCACCCAGGTGCCCCACTGAGGATATTTTTAAAGGAAAGCTTTGGGGTGCCTGGGTGGCTCTGTTGGTTAAGCAACTGCCTTCAGCTCAGGTTATGATCCTGGAGTCCCTGGATCAAGTCCCACATCAGGTTCCCAGCTCCACGGGGAGCCTGCTTCTCCCTCTAACCTTCTCGCTCATGCTCTCTCTCGCTGTCTCTCTCTCAAATAAAATATTTTAAAAAAATAAAATAAAATAAAAGGAAAGCCTTTCATAATAGGAAGCAAGCTACACTGTAAAGTGATTTCAAGAAACACGCAGAGTGTAATGGGAAAATCAGTGTGGCTTTGACGCTTGCATTCCCCTTGAAGTCACCCAGGTTTGGTGACACACACTCCACTCCCTGTGCACATCTAAGCACACTGCCTCAGTCTGCAGTAAATACAATTCACATGATTATACTTTATTGCAGCTTTCAATTTTCAGAAATAACCTACAGAACAAGTATTAAAGACAACTGTAGTTACAAAAGAATTTAAATATAATTTCATACATTATAAAAATTATGATTTTGGTGAAAAAAATAATGATTTCACTGACAAGCTAGGAAATTAAAGGAACAGGAGAGGTGGAAGGAAGCGAAGGGAACATTAATTCACTTAGTGGGGAGTCAGGATACTACTTAAAATTGCCGGATTAAGAAACAGTGGTTAAAAAAAGAAATAGCGCTTTTAGTCTATTCAACAGAATGGATATAAATCCTTAAAATATTCACACATATAATTAATATAGGAGGAAAGTAGTAAACTAAATTCTTTGTCTTGAAGAGTGCAAAGATAAATGGTATTGCTTAGAGTAGATAAATTAAGAACTAGAGGCATACACATAGCATTTAGAGGAATAAGACAGAATTGGTCCAAAGGGACTTTATTTGAGAAGACCGACCTGGGAGTGTGGCACAGGGAGAATTTTTAGTCATGCGTCTCTACCACAATTTGAGTATTTGTTTCCACACACCTGTACTACTTCTGTAAGACCGTATTCATTTGGCCCGGGGCTTTCACTTTTACTAGGATAATATAACCAAGCCTAGAACAGTTAAGTTACTTGCTGACGGTCACACATATAGGGGTTTAGGGGTTGAGAGTGGAGAGAATTCAGCTCTCAGGTCTCCTTCTCCTATAATGGGCATGAATTAGAATTCAGGTCTCCTTCTCCTATAATGGGCATGTGACCAGGGAGAAAGGTAAAGACAGGCAGTGTTCAAAACCTGTGTCACCAGTGGTGTAGGTCTTCTACATGTCCTTTTTTCTTTTTTTTTTTTTAGGATTTTATGTATGTATTTATGTAAAGAAAGAGAGTGTGTGTGAGTGGGGGGCAGGTGCAGAGAAAGAGGGACAACCAGACTTTGCACTGAGCACAGAGCCCAATGTGGGGCTCCATCCCACAGCCCTGAGATCATGACCTGAGCCAAAATCAAGACCTGGACACTTAACTGACTGAGACACCCAGGAGCCCCGGTCTTACATTTTTTTTTTTTTTTAAGATTTTATTTATTTATTTGACAGAGAGAGAGAGAAAGATCACAAATAGGCAGAGCAGCAGGCAGAGAGAGGTGGGGAAGCAGGCTCCCCGCCGATCAGAAAGCCCGACGCGGGGCTCGATCCTAGGACCCTGAGATCATGACTGGAGCTGAAGACAGAGGCTTTAACCCACTGAGCCACCCAGGTGCTCCATATTTTTTACTGCATTCATTCATTCAGCAAATAGTTGAGATCCTACCATGTGTTAAGCTTCCTAAAGCTGGTAATATCTGGTGTGACAAAACTCTTCTGCCAGAAAATTTTTATCTAGAGCTTATTCAGCACCACTGACCCTATGTTGTGAAAAAACCTCCTAGATTCTCATTTATGGGTTTAGCGAGAATTTATAATCAAGGTTGAGTTATTTAAGTATTTTGATCTAGGCCGAATTACATTTCACTGGGGATAAGAATTTATATAATGCATTTTTCCTGGCTATCATCGGATATATTTTCCCAACTAAGGCACTACAGTTGTCTTTGAAATCTCAACCCCGGTACTTAACTCCACTCAGGGTAATATGAAGACAAATATTATACGGCTATAGACTTTAATTTCTATTAACTGTATGATCACTTAGTGAATATATTAGTGGCTTCCTACCTTTTGGTAAACCCGTCACATTTATTCTAGTAGTTATTGAACACCTACTAAAAATAAAATTTGGGACTAGGCACTGAAGGTAATTAAGACAAGTTTCAGCTTTAGGGTAGGCATGACATTTGCATACCACACAATGAAGCTTAAGTAGCTAAGCTAGAAACACATGCCATTGATTGGGGGTTGGGAAGAGGGAGGAGATAGCATTTAGGATGGACATCAAGGGAGGGCAAAAGACAAGGAACTCAGAACTGCCATTGTGTAAGAAAATTTAATGGGAGAAGATGATACCTTGAAGGCATAAGTATCAAAAACCAAGGTCACAAAAAAATGAGTAAATGCAGGAAGGAATTGCAGGAAGGACTAAAAAGAGGAATATAGTTTTGCTCTGAGGAGGAAGAAGGAGAGAAGGGAGAGAAGAGGCAGAGAAATGAGCAGGACAAAGGAAGAAAGGAAAAAGGAGGGGAAAGGGAGCAGGCAGGGAGAAGCCAGGGCAATATGGAAGTGGGAGAGGGGACTAAATAAAGCACTTTTAAGAAGGTGGAGAAATCTCAAACAATCTAAAGACATTTGTCTGCTTGAGAGGAAGAGCTGAGTTTCACACATGAGTTTACATCCTGCTATTCAAAAACAAGATCCTGAGATGATTCATAATGATTCATAATGTGAATTAATTTAGCAGAAGCTAAAGCCAACTGTGACAGTGAGAATATAAGCCTCCAGAACTTTGCAGAAATCTTGGAGCAGGCTTTATGCAATGCAGGATGGGAATTCCAGTCCATCTGATTTAGCTCTTGTGGGGCAGAAGACTCCAGCTGACATCTACCTTTCCTCGCAACAACAGCAGAGGAACCTGGGGGCCAGGGCACTAAGGCAGTTGTCCAAGGTCACATCACCAGTCCGTGAAACCTGCAAAGTTCCTCTTGGAAGGCAGTACTTGGGGTGGTAAAAAGCAGTCGTTCTAGCGTCAGACAGTCTAAGCTCAAATGCTGGCTCTGCCACTTATTAGTCATGTGACCTTGCGCACATTGTACAACCTTTCTCTTGTTCTTCATAGCCAAAAAAAAAAAAAAAAAAGAAAAGAAAAAGAAAGGAAAAAAAAAGTATAGCATTGCAAACTACTGAGAGATTAAATGAGTCACTACATCTCAATAACAATTTCACATCCCTTATCACAATTTTCACAATCCTGAAATCCAAAAAGCTCTGAAAACCAAGTTTTCTCCTAAGCTTGCAGCAAATTATTTGGTGGCAAAACCTGACTTGAGGCTGTCATCTTTATTCCACTTGATGGGATGTGGAGCTAATGTGTCTGATTTTAGGTGCTGACTCATACCCTGCAGAGGGAGTTATACAATATATAGCATAAGCACTCTATTTAATCTCTAAAATCTGAAAAATTCTCATTTCTAAAACACATACACCCTCAAGGCTATCAGATAAAGGAGTGTGGACCTGTCCTTAGAACAACAGCTATCTCACATATGGGGTAAAAATGAATAACCCATGCTCAGTAGAGACCAGAGGGCTCATGTAGTGCTACCAATTCCCTGAGCCCATTTTCTAGAGAGGACGAGTGAAGACACAGGAGTGATGGCAAAGCTTAACACAGCCAGTCATAGCTCTTTTTTCACTCCTTGAATAAATATGTTTTCCTGTCCTAAGCCTCCAAAAATGGTCAAACGCTCAATACTGGGTATCAGTCTCTGTGAACATTTATAAAATCAGTCAACAAGTATTCATTTAGCACCTACTGTATGCTCTGCGATATGAAGATACTACATGGTCCTGACCACTGAGATGAGGAAGACAAGGATACAGTTAGGAAACAAAATGGTACACAACATTGTGCTAAATTAACAGTGGCACAGGCGAGGTGCTGAGACCAAAGGGGCTTTATAAAGACAGTAGGATGAATTACAGTTTATTGCTAGTTATATGATCTTGAGATCTTGAGCCTCAGTTTCGTTGTCTGTAAAATAGGTTGCTGTGAGGTTAGAAATATTTTATGTAGAGTGCTGGATACATAAATTGTAAATAAATATTGTGTTTTTTCCCTGTCAGTTGGTTCTTGGAGTATGGTAAAGACACTTGAATGAGTGTGAAGATGAATTAACTTTAGAATACAGATTATATATGTTGAGGTCACTGTTGGAAATTAGACTAGAAGGGTGAGGGCAAGTGGAACAGCACAGTGAAGGGGAAGGGGAGATTAGGCAGGGTTATTATGGGAAGTCTTGCCTTGGAGTAACGACAAATAGAGACCAGTGAATAATTTTTGAGCAGAAAATAATGTGATAAAAGAGTAGTGTTGAAAATTACTTTCTTGGAAGGTAGTGGACTGGGAGGAGATTGGGAAGCTGGGAGTAGCTTGGTATAGCATAGCAAATCCAGCATACAGCCTAGAGTCTTGGTGGTGGTGGGTGAGCAGACATGAGATCTTTAGATTGGAGAAAATAACAAAAACTCTCATGTAAAAAACAAACAAACAAACAAACAAACAACTTTCATGCAAGGTTGCTATTTACCACCCTAATAACAAGTCTCTGTTTTATGGCAACTCAACAGGCAAGTCCTAGGACAAATAATTCACAATTCTTCTACATCTACTTCTCAAAGCGAGGTTAACATACACACACAGATGCAGCCCTTTGAGTATGGGGGCAGCACAGTGAAATACAAAGCATCCTCTAAACAGAGCACTAATTCTGGCCGCTCAGAACAACCAGGACTAGGCTGTAGCCAAGGTCTCAGATGTCAGAGAAATCTATCCTGCCCTCTTAAAAAGTCCAAGGTCAAACATCTTTTGGCAGCCACTTCCAACTTTTCCTTGTCCTGCCCTGGTTTACCCTGGAGCATTTCACAGGCTAAAGAAGTCAGAGTGTATTTCTTGATCCCAGGGATGCAATGACCGTCATGTGATGTAGGTTACCTTAACCATGGAACATGAGATGCACATTCTTGAGAACATGGCTCCTGGACAGGAAATAGCACAGCTAGAGATATGCTCTGTTTTATTCCTGCAAAATATATCAAGACTCAGCATTTTGGAAACTTACATGATTTTCCCCCATTCTTTACACTGTAGAGTACATATGGCTTACTATTCACTTCTCAAAGTCTCCTTGAAGATAAAGGACTCCTTTATAGCAACTATGCAACTAATACAGTATTAACATAGCACCCGACGTGTATTTTAAAATACACGTTAATGGAACTTGTACTATTTGTGCAAGTAAAGTAAATGCACCTATCCTTCTATTTTCCATGCATTATGGTTATAGAGTTGGCCTTAATTAAAAAGAAATCAATCAACCCACTCCTGCCAACCACTCAAGGCCACAGATCACATTTGAAGGAGAGAAGGCAGGTGAAGGGTATTAAATACTGATTAGGAACAATGACTTCAAAACGAAACAAAACAAAAAAGCTTGTAATATTTGGACTAGATTTTTTTTTAAAGTTGAAATTTACTCTACAAAAACTATGCTCAGCTGGGTATGCTGTGTATGCCCCTAGATTTGCTGATGACATCCTCCTTTAGGAAGACAGATGAAAATGAAATGCTTCACTTATTTCTCTAACAGAGTTAGAGAAATGGAGCATTGCAGTGATTTTCAATTTTTTTTTTTCCACCAAAGACTCCTTTTGCCCGCTTGTTTTAAAATGTTGTCTACTGTGATGGTTAACTTTTTGTTTAAATTTGACTGGGCTAAGGGATGCTGATAAAATACTACCTCTCGTGTTCGTGAGGGTTTCTGGAAGAGATGTGCACTGACATCTGTAGGCTAAGTCACCAATGTTGGTGGGTATCATCTAGTTCACTGGGGGTGTGAACTGAACAAAAAGGCAGAGGAAAGGCAAATTTGCTCTCCACCTAAGCTGGGGCATCCATCTTCTTCTGTCCTTGGACACCAGTGCTCCTGGTTCTTGGGTCTTTTGGGCTGGGACTGGATTACACCACTGGCTTTGGTGGTTCTTGTTTATAGCTGGCACGAGACGTCTTGGCCTTTGTTAAGTACATGAACTCATCTTTCTCCTCCTATTCACTTCTGCATTCTCTCTTAAACTAAAACAGAGGCACCACAAGATGTGCTCTGTGTGTAAATTTTGGAAAGGTACCCAGGTGAGTATCAGGTGTACCAGTAATCTTTCTTAAGCTGAGTGCTAGTTATATAGGTTTAGTTGTGAAATTCAGAGCTCCACACTTAAAATATGTGCCCCTTTCTCTTTTGCACACACACAGCTTAAATACAAGGAAAATGTTATCACAGAACTTTTGGCAGCATAAAGTCCTATCTCTTTAGCATGGCAACTCTCCCCTGCCTTAGCTACCTGCCACTTTCCCATCACCACACAACGGGAGGCTCACTCCATAGCTAGCAGGTCCTAATTCTGTCTTCAGACACTGTTCTTTTTTCTTGGTACTCATCTTTTAATCTCATCTTAAGCATCATCTCCTCTTGAAAGATTTTTCTCCTCCTCTTCTTCATGTGCCTCCCGGTTCTTTTATCATCCTCTCAGAAAACAACTGTGAACATTGCAATAACCTTGCTTTAAAAAATTAATCTTTTTGGCTATGCTTTATATAAGCAATGAATTGTATATATGATCAAGAATTGTTTCATGGCGACTGGAATTTTGAGCTATCACTCCAGGTTTACAACCGAGGATGTTAAAAATGATGTAATTTTAGTAGGAATATCTCCTACGACCATGTCCCCACATTACGATGAAGTCAATAGCCACAGCTTCTGCTAAGCAAGAAAACCATACATGAAATAGATGCGACTCCAGCAAAAAGCACAATGCTTAAGTGTGCATGCATTAGGGTTTCCAAAATACTGAGAACAGGTCTGAGAACCTTATTATCAGTTGAAACACTGGCCAGAGAACGATTTGTGTAGTATAAGTAAATCTGGGGAAATTTCCAGTAGGAGAATTGAGGCCTTAAGTGCATTTCCAGTTACTTTTTCTGCTTTTCATTGGGCTACCAACTCTGTTTTGACAGTTAACTGAGGCTGACTACTTAATTTGAATGCAGAGAGCACAATTTCTATACATACACCTTCATGTTCACATGTGCACACACAAATATTCCCAGGGGAAGATGAAAGAAAGTGTGGAGGGGAGGTTCAGAATGTCTGTAATATAGAAGGGAGGTGTTTTGCTCAAACTATTAGATAGATAGAATTATAGAGTTCCAGGTGATCTGGAATTCTATAGTAAGAAACTAAAGAATCTGGATTTAGCCCTAAGGGAACTATCCCAGAAAAGGTCACTACAGGCATACCTCATTCTACTGTGGATTGCTTTATTGTGCTCTGCAGATACTGCGTGTTTTCACAAATGGAAGGTTTGCAGCAGACTAGCATCAGGCAAATCTCTTGATTCCACGTCTCTAAGAGCATTTGCTTATTTTGTGTCTCTGTGTCATATTTTGATAATTCTTGCAATATTTCAAACATCTTCATTACTATTATATTTGTTATCCTAATCTGATTAGTGATTATGACTCACTGAAAGCTCAGAAGGATGGTTAGCAATAGGTATTTAGGTATTTTAAAATTAAAGCATGTACATTGCTTTCATAGACATAATACTATTGCACAGTTACTAGACTACTATGTAAAGTGTAATCATAACTTTTATATGCAGTAAGAAATAAAAAAATATATTGCTTTATTGCAATATCTGCTTCATTGCAGTGCTCTGGAACCAAACACTATCTCCATGGTATGCCTGTAGTCACAGGTACAAGTGACAGCAATTTCTTTTAAATCCTTGATTCTAATTTTTAAGTGCAGTATTTATTTGACAGGATAGATTCTGAATGAAAATAACAAAGAACTCTTACACAAAGCAAAAAACAAAACAGGTTTAATGATTAAAACAGATGAATTAATAGGTTTATATAACCATCAACTAAGGGAAGCCCTAGAACCAGAAATAAGGATTTTATTTAAAATCGCATGCAAAGTCTAGTTACCATAAAAACCAAAGCAATACCAAAATATCTGTTTCCTAGTATAGACTCCAGGTCTTTTTATTTCCAACTCTTCGTAGTCAAAATATGTACACTTTCGCATGCTACTGGTAGTGGAGGAATAAGATTATTTGTATAGGACTACAGTTATGTTTCACAGATGGGAGGACACAAAAAGAAGTGTCTTCCTCCACTTTTTCGGGCCCATCTTGAAAAAAGGCACTCCCAAAGGTTCCTTGGTAACACCTTTGCTAGGCTTATTAATTACTCATATAATCTTTACATGTAAGATTAATGGTCCACTCATTTCACAGACCTGGGAACCACAAGGCATTGGAACTATTTCTTTAACTCGCATGCCAAGTAACTGGCTTTCTTAAGCAAAGACCCAGAAAACCTTTGGCTATCAGTTTGGAAAAAAAAAAAAAAAAAAAAAAAGGGGCTGTTTCCTTGAAAACTTAATCATATGCTTCGTCACTAGGCTTTGGCATGCACTGCCAAGCATATTATGGAACTGAACGAACCATCATATGATGGTGGCAGGGGACACTCCTGAATAATTAATTATTCCAGTTTTCTCACTTCTGCTCCCTTGTACCAATGCAACTTTGTCCTTGTCCCTTTATTAATTATAATACCAAGTGCTCTGAACCTGGGTTTGACCTCTCTCCTAAAAGACGTGTGAGAAAAAAAGATGCTTAAATAAATTACTGAGTCCTTCTCTAGGATCATCAAAATAGAGAGTAATGGAAGTCTTCAGCTGCCTGTGGGCAGCTGTCCCCCTTTCACAGAATCTTTAGAAACCATTTGCCTGAGGCCAAGGACAATCTGCTTTGTCACTAAACCGGACTCACAGGGAGCCATACTGAAACTGCACTTGGGTAGCTAGTCTCAAGTCCAACTGAGCTTGAGTATGTCTCTACATTTACTGCATCCATGTAGTGTGCAATTTCTGATGCTGAATAAGAGAGATGCGGCAATTGAAGGCTTCGCCACAAGCATCACATTCATGGGTTTCTTGAGTTTTTGCCTCTGTGTGGATCTTCTGATGGTTGACAAGGCTGCGCTGTTGACTAAAACTTTTGTCACACTTCTCACACTTGTAAGGTTTCTCTCCTGTGTGTATTCTCTGATGCTGAATTAGGCCCGAGTTCCGGCTAAAGGCCTTCCCGCATTCGTCACATTTATGGGGTTTATTACCTGTGTGAACACCCTGATGTCGAATAAGATTACAAAGCTGACTAAAGCTTTTGCCACACTGTCTGCACAGATAAGGTCTCTCACCAGTGTGGATTCTTTGATGTTCAATAAGAAATGAGCTCCGACTGAAGCTTTTCCCGCATACAGTACATAGGTAGGGCTTTTCACCAGTGTGGATTCTTTGATGTTGTACAAGGTGGGCACTGACACTGAAAGTTTTTCCACATTCATCACATTTATAAGATTTTTCCTTGGGGTAGACTTCCTGCTGTATAACAAGACTGCAATTTGGATCAAAACTTTCCTTGGTTTCATTGTATGAATAAGTCTTCTCTCTGGTGTGGATTCTCTGATGCTGAATAAGACCCGAGCTTCTGCTAAAGGCTTTTCCACATTCCTCACATTTATGGGGTTTGTCTCCTGTGTGAATTCTCTGATGACGAGTAAGGTTGCACAGCTGACTGAAGCTTTTCCCGCACTCTTTGCACTGATAAGGTCTTTCACCTGTATGGATCCTCTGATGCTCAATAAGGAATGAGCTCCGACTGAAGCTTTTTCCACATTCGATACAAAGAAAAGGCTTCTCACCAGTGTGGATTTTTTGGTGTTGTATAAGGTACGTACTTAATCTAAAAGCTTTCCCACATTCTCCACATTTATGAGGTCTTTCCCCAGTGTGAATTCTCTGATGTTCAACAAGTAATGAATTTCGACTAAAGCTTTTCTTACATTTGGTACAGTGATAGGGTTTCTCACCAGTGTGAGTTCTCTGATGTTCAATAAGGTGTGACTTCCAACTGAAGGCTTTTCCACAGTCACTACATTTATGGGGTTTCTCACCTGTGTGAATCCTTTGATGTTTAACAAGGCTCCTTCTCTGGCTGAAGCTCTGTTTACACTGATTACACTGATAGGGTCTCTCTCCAGTGTGGATTCTCTGATGTCTAATAAGGGTTGAGCTCACACTAAAGGTTTTTCCACAATAATTACACTCATACGGCCTTTCCCCAGTGTGAATTCTCTGATGCTCAATAACAAATGAACTGCGACTAAAACTTTTTCCACATTCGTTGCATTGAAAAGGCTTCTCACCAGTATGTACCCTTTGATGTTGAATGAAATGGGCCTTCCTGACAAAACCTTTTCCACATTCTTCACATTTATGGCATTTCTCTTCTGAGTTTGATCTCTTACGAATAATATTACTGTTTCCTCTGAACATTCTCTGGTCCTGGGCCAAAGATTCCCTTGGTATTTCCCATAAGAAGATACCTCTCTGTTTATCTAACCTACCAACAAGTTCAAAGGTTTCCCTACCTATGGGATCTTGGTCAATTTCACTTTTGATTCTTGTAACTATTACACCCTGTGGTTCCACTTCTTCCTCAATCTCCTCAATTTCTTGTTTCACAGTTGGCTCCTCATCCTTATCTCTGTTCAAAACATCTGGAATAATAAATAGAAAATAGATCAGCTGGGCTCTTTGCTAGCAAGGAGAAATGCTTAGGAAAGATTAATACAAATTAATCCACTACATCTATAAAATGTGAATGACTACTCCAGAGTATAGTGAAGATTAAATTAGTTTATATACACAAAACATTTAGGACAATGCCTGGCAAAGAATACAAGCTATATAAATAATATTAGTTATCTGATAAAATATTTTTCTTGGAGAAGGGGTATGAAAAGAGTGAGTGTGTGAGCGTGTATGTGTGTTTTTAAAGAAGCAAGCTTTTAAGTTTTTTATTTTTTATTTTTTTAAAGATTTTACTTATTTATCTGACAGAGAGAGATCACAAGTAGGCAGAGAAGAGGGGGAAGCAGGCTCCCCACCGAACAGAAAGCCAGATGCAGGGCTCAATCTCAGAACCCTGAGATCGTGACCTGAGCCAAAGGCAGAGGCTTAACCCCCTGAACCACCCAGGTGCCCCTAAGTTTTAATTTTTTTTAGTAATCTCTACACCCAACATGGGGCTTGAACTCACAAACCTGAGATCAAGAGTCACATGCTCCTCTAACTGAGTCAGCCAGGCACACCAAAAGGGTGTTTTTATAAGTAAAATGATGAGTTAGTAGGGCAAGCAGAATTGGGAGGAAGTCCTGGTAAATCAACAATTAGGCAAGGTAAGATGGGGAAACAATGAAATAGAACAAGTAGTAGTATAATGAAGTATTCGATCAAGGAAGAAAGGATGATGCAGGAAAAAAAAACAGTAGGTTCAGGAAAATATGAGGTAAGACAGCATTACTGAACCACGAGTAGACCAAATAACTGACAGAAATGAACACAAAATGCTGAAAAGGATAAAAGACAAAAACAAAAAACAAAACAGGGGAAGCAACAATTCATTCATTAACAAGAATTTACTTATTGTAAAAAAAAGCATTCCAGGTATGTGTAATGATTCAGGATTCAAAGATAAGACATGAAATTCCCCACCTAATAAAATGAATGATGAGTACACTGGGGAGAGAAAACATGATAAAATATTTAACAAAAGTACTCCTGTACTGAGACAAAATGGCCTTTAAAATAAAATAATGGGTTATTATGGACACTGGGGAGGATATGTGCTATGGTGAGTGCTGTGATTTGTGTAAGACTGAGATTCACAGACCTGTACACCTGAAGCAAATAATATGTTATATGTTAATAAAAATTTTTTTTTTAAGATTTTTTATTTTATTTATTTGTCAGGGACAGAGGGAGAGAGAGCGAGCGAGCACAGGCAGACAGAGAGGCAGGCAGAGGCAGAGGGAGAAGCAGGCTCCCTGCCGAGCAAGGAGCCTGATGTGGAACTAGATCCCAGGATGCTGGGATCATGACCTGAGCCGAAGGCAGCCGCTAAACCAACTGAGCCACCCAGGCATCCCTGTTAATAACATTTTTTTAAAAAATGAAAAAAAAAATAATGGATTGGAGTGACAAGGAGTCTATGATACAGAAAGACATAATAAAATAAATACAAAAGGAACATGGTCACAGTTAATGAAAGAAACAGAGAAAATGCAGTCTGTGGTAACTTATGCCCTCACCTACCACAAATCCTACCACATTCTTCAAGTACATACGTTTCTCACCCTTCTAATGTAAGAGCCAAGATGGAACCATTTAGTTCCAAGTGAGAGTCTCTAAGACATCTGAGAAATGAAAATCTTACATGTGTAGAAGGAAAGATAACATAATAGTCTATGATGAAACAGAGTGGCATACAGAACTCGAGTCTGCCTCTGACTTTTTCCCCGATTTTCCCTCTTTTGCTCTCTGCTGGATAATTCCACTAGAAGAACTGATCGGTACCAGATATATACACTTGGCCCTAAACAATTTCCTTTTTTAGACTTCCTCTTTTCTCTCAATTTTCTAATTTTCTATCTTTGGAGTCATCTCTTGAGTTTTCTTTTCACTTAGTTCAAACCAGTCATTAATTTATTTTATTCCAAAAAAACTTCTCTTATTCCTCTAAGAAATCAGTAGAAACTTTATTTCTCTTTATGCTACTAATAGTATTATATCTTAAATTCACTTGAGAGGTCGGTCTGCTTTCTTTCACACAATGAAAAAGGATGAGAGAACTCCCTGAACTTTCTGCCCCCTGCCTGTAAAATTATCTGCAATGGTACATGAAGATATATTACATTCCTATCCAAAGCTAATTCATCTACCTTCTCTTGATCTCCCATGTCTCTTGAGGACTTAACTACTACCATTGTTTCCTCTTTCTTCCATCTGTTCTCCATTGCCAACATACTTACATATGCTCAGCATACAAATATGCCCAACTTTATCTCAAACCTGAAACCCTTCTCTTAATGAAATCTAAGTTTTGAAATAAAATCTTAACTCTGTAGGTCTCCCTTTCCTAGGTATGTTTCCCATGCCCACCTCTTCCCCTACAACCTACTGTGAAATATGGCTTCTGTTTCCAGCATCTAGAAAAGCTTCTTCTAAATCACCAATGACTCTTGAGTAACAAATAAACATCTTCAGTCCTTACTCAGCAGCATCTGACACTGTTGACTAGTTCCATTTTGACACTATCTGGTTTTGATTTCTAAGCCATTATATTCTTTTAGTTCCCTATTTCTTCTTTGGCCTTTTCTAGTAAATTTCCTTCATGTATTTCTCTTCCTTCATTAACTGTTGAAGGTTACCATTACCCATATTTACATTCTTACCTTGCTCTCTATATATAGTCTGGGTATTGCTATTTACCTGTCTCAAAAAGGCTTACAATTAACATGATCATCATCATTTGCTGTCATGTATGTCTCCACCTCCAATCATCTTCTCTTGACAGGCACCTTCATCCATTACCCAGAACAGAAAATCACCCTAGATTTCTCCATTTTTCTTATTGGTAAACAATCACCAAAGTCAAAGATTCAACTCTCCAGTATCTACCTTCTTTCCATGTCTTCCCTGGATTATGCAAAAGCCATCCAATAAGTAGTCTCCATACTACATCTACTCCACTGCATCCAGAGAGATGTGCATGAAATGGAATTCCAGTCACATCACCCCCTATAGATTCACTAGTACTCCATCACTTGTGAGAGCAAATCAAAGCTCCTTCCACCATGATACTCAGCACTTCACAAAAGGTTCTCTAAATCTCAAGTCACCCTCCTACCCACTCTCTCACACTGCAAAGTGGGCAAATTGCTTAATGCTAATCTTATTTTTTTTAAAAGATTTTATCTATTTATTTGACAGACAGAGATCACAAGTAGGCAGAGAAGCAGGCAGAGAGAGAGGAGGTAGCAGGCTCCCTGCTGAGCAGAGAGCCCGATGGCGGGGCTCGATCCCAGGACCCTAGGATCATGACCTGAGCTGAAGGCAGAGGCCCTAACCCACTGAGCCACCCAGGCGCCCCGCTTATGCTAATCTTCTATGCCATTTCTTTGAACATCTCATTTTACTAAATGTCCCCTAACATTGTTTACCTGGCAAACTCCTGGTTTCTCTTTAAGATTCAATTCAAGTAAAAGCTCCTCTACAAAGCCTTCACTAAGTCCAAGAGGCAGACTTAGATGTTCTGTTTTTTATTACCAGCCCTCATCCACAGCTGCATTATAGCTATTATATGCACTATTATTGCGCTGTATTTACCTCCTCCATGGGACTGTAAATTCCTTGTGAGAAGGGGAAGTCTCTTTATAATGTTTACCCAGTGTTGTTGTTCTAGGGTTTTACTCAAAGGAATCAGATAAAATTGTTGCTATTTGCAGACAATATAAATGTCCATATAAAATTTCTAAAACAAATTAAGTTAAATATAATAGTAACAAGAAAACTAAGATATAAAATAAACAGTGGTAAGTACTTACTGCCAAGAATAAACAATTAGTAAATGTTATAGAAAAATAAAATGTCTTATATGGTAATAAAAACCATAAAACCAGGAATAAGTCTCATAAGAATTGAATGAGAGCTTTGAAAATAAGCCATAAAAATTTTCTGAAGGACATAACACAGATAAATAGAGTCAAGCAAATTGCTAAAGTGATTCAATGTTATAAGGATCTTAATTCTTCCCAAACCAATTTATGAACCCAACTATATTCCAATCAAAATCTTATAAATGAATAAAAAACCTCAATGAATCTAAATTTCAACTGGAAGAATAAAGAAAACAAGTGTATCCTAAAAAAGAATATAAAAGAATGATTTACCGTATCAGACATAAAATGTAATACACTGCTTAAGTAAATAAGACAGAGAGACACTGGAATGAAAATAAATAGGTCAAAGAGATAGGTAAAGAAAACAAGTGAGTTTTGGCTTCCACACAGAGTAGTACAGAAAGGACTATCCATTAGATCTGGGCTTGGTAGCTATAATCACCTTCTGAGGTCTCTGCCATGCTTTTAGTCTATGCTCCCATCCTGTGATCATACAGCTAATTTGTAGAGAATTGACTCAAAATGCATCTCTACCAGGAATTAAAACTGAAATAGGCAGTTATCCTGAACATGACTAGAATTGTAATCTATCAACTCAGAAGCTATAACGACAGAAGCATGTGGATATGAGGAGGAAAGACTAGTCTACCAAGAAGAAACAGTATGCAAAGACAGAGTTCCTTCCTGACTTCCTGAGCAATCCAATTTCTGTGTTTCATTTTGTTTTGTTTTAAAGATTTTATTTGTCAGAGAGAGAGAGAGAGAGAGAGAGAGAGAGAGCGCGCGCACAAGTGGGCAGAGTGGCCGGCAGAGGTGGAGAGAGAAGCAGGCTCCCTGCTGAGGAAGGAACCAGATGTGGGACTCAATCCCAGGACCCCGGGATCATGACCTGAGCCGAAGGTGGCGGCTTAACCAACTGAGCCACCCAGGTGTCCCAGATTTTTATTTATTTATTTGACAGACAGAGATCACAAGTAAGCAGAGAAGTAGGCGGCGGGGGGGGGGGGGGGGAGCAGGCTCCCCACTGAGCAGAGAGCCCGATGTGGTGATCCCAGGACCCTGGGATCATGACCTGAGCTGAAGGCAGAGGCTTACCCCACTGAGTCACCCAGGCACCCCTTGTTTTTGTTTTTAAAGTAGGCTCCACAGTAGATGTGGAGCTTGAACTCATGACCTTTGGATCAAGACCTGAGCCAAGGTCAAGAGTCAGTTGCTTAACCAACTGAGCCACCCAGATGCCCCTGGGTTTAGTCCTTTTCTGACATCCAGCTGCAGTCGTGCTCATATATTCTGTGTGCCACCTCTGTCCCTACAATAAGTTCTCTTGTTGGCTTAAGCTAGAGTTGATTTCTATAATCTTTAATCAGTTTAATACTATGGTAGCTGCAGAGAGAGAGAAATGGCAAGGAAATGGTGAAGTGGAAGTGGCTAAACTTTAGGCCATAACAAGAGTTACCATACATTTTCTAAAAAGGGCCAGACAATAAATATTTTTGGCTTTGAAAGCCATATAGGCTCTACTGCAAATGTTCAACTCTGCCACTACAGCATGAAAGTAGTAACAGATAATACATAAAAATAGGCACTGTTTTTTAAAAAGATTTTATTTATTTATTTGACAGACAGAGATCACAAGTAGGCAGAGAAAGAGGAAGGGAAGCAGGCTCCCTGCTGAGCAGAGAGCCCGATGTGGGGCTTGATCCCAGGACCCTGGGATCATGACCTGAGCCGAAGGCAGAGATTTTAACCTACTGAGTCACCCAGGTGCCCCCAAAATAGGCACTTTATTCATAAAAATGGACAGTGTGCCAGATCTGGCCTGTGGACTGACCACAGCTGCCAATCCTAGTATCAAAAGTGTATAGGAAGAACAGTTTTTTTGGTAAAAGAATGAGAGAATGGGGAAGAATCTGCATTCCTAGCGCTAGCACAGTGCTTGATTAACTATTTATTGAAAGGATGAGTAGTTGAACAAACAATTGAGGAAAGAATACATAATATATATATATTCTAAGAATATATATAATCTAAGAAGAGAAACAATGAGTTTAAGGTCTTACAGGAACAGCAATTCCCAATTCTGTCAAGGTCCAATATGGTTCAAGCAGACTAGAAAGAAGTCATTAAAACTGAAGACATCCATTTCAGTTGAAAGAACTGGAAGACTTGGGGTGCCTGGGTGGCTCAGTGGGTTAAGCCTCTGTCTTCGGCTCAGGTTATGATCTAAGGGTCCTGGGATTGAGCCCACATCGGGCTCTCTGCTCAGCAGGGAACCTGCTTCCTCCTCTCTCTGCCTGCCTCTCTGCCTACTTGTGATCTCACTGCCTCTGTCAAATAAATAAAGAAAATATAAAAAAAGAAAGAAAGAACTGGAAGACTGAGAACTGAGATCAAGCTGTCAGTTGTATTATTAACATAGTTACTGAAGTGTTTAAAGAAAAATCATCATAGAAAAGAAAGGTACGAATAAAGGACCAAAATCCAATTTGGAAGAGAGCTGTACTAACTAAAGAAGCAAGATGATGTGCAGTAAAAAATTACGTTAGAAAAAATCAAGTAATTGTGATCTTTCACCAAGGGAACTCTTATCAAAGGAATGGTGACAGAATCTATAGATGAAAAGATTGCAGAGGGAGAAATAATAACCGATAAAAAGCTGTAGTTCAGCTAAAATGGGAGCCTGAAAGTAGGAGATCACAGATGGGCTCACTGCCATGCCTTTGTCCATATGGTACTCACATCTAACAGTAGTAGGGGCAGGCAAGGCTGGGCATATGTCTGGTTCTATCAGCCAGGATACCATATGTGTGGATAAAGCTGGCAATGACTCAGAGACACCATGGCATATTGGGGAAAAAAATCAGCAGCTGATATGAACAGAGATTGAACTGGTGTACAAAAATAATATATGATGCTAGAAACCCAGGCAGGGCTATTTAGAGAGGCCCTAGCAGGTACAAAAAATTAAGATTTTTATCCTTTAGGCTACCAGGAATTGTAAATTATAAGCAGTTAACTAACAAAATCACTTTGGTGGCAGTAAATAGAATATATTAAAAGAAAGGGAAATTGGAGGCAAGAGGCTAGTTTATGGACTAATGCAGTAACTGGTCAAGAGATACTGAATCTTGAGTATATTCATTCATTCTATTACACAAATACTTAGAAGCATATAATATATATGCTTCTGTGCTGAGCATATAATAGAGTCATGTTAAGTAGACTCTATATATGGTTCTGCACTAAGTGCTGGAGAAATCAAATGAAAAAAATATAGTTACTGTTCTCATGGAAACCAGTCTGGTTAGAAAAATAACATAAAGAATGATTAGAGTACAGTGTGATAAATTCAACAGAAGTGTATATAGTAGCACAGAAAAAGGAGTACTTAATTCCAAAGAGAAGGGCCTTGAGATCTGAATGGGTTATTTGAGATTTGCCAGGTGTGAGTCATTTACATGGTCTTCAAAAGAAGATGACAAAGATTTTAGCGCTCTTAGAGAGGATAAAGAGTACAGTGACAGCCATCAACATTTATATTATACTTACTACATGCTACTCAAGGTCCTAAGTACGTTACATATATTAACTCTGTTAATGCTCACAGTAACCCAAAGAGGTAAGTGCTATTATTATTGCCATTTCGTAAAAAAGAAACAGGCATGGAAAGATTATGTAATTCACCCATGGTCACGAGGCTTGTAAGTGGCTGAACCAGGATTTTTACTTAGGCAGGTAAGCTCCAGCTGCTTCTCTCAGGTGAAAGTAAGATTTGGGACTTATCACATAGAAGTAGGTGATGATCTGAGTATAGATAAGCTTTGCCAAAGAAAGCATATAAATTGAGAGGAAGTGTGAGAATGCAAGGCAACAGAAGGAAGCAACAGTTTCAAATATCTATAGAGAGGTGAAATAAAATAGTGTCCAAAAAAGAGTCTATTGCATTTGGCAACTGGGTTATTACAGACCAATGTTAAACAGTTCAAGGGGAATGGCAGAGGCAAGAAAAGGGGCTTAGAGATAATGGAAGGTAAAGTACAAAACACACATTAACTACTTTTACAAAAACTTGGCTATGAAGTGAATGAGGAGGTGACAAGGAGCAGCAAGGAGACTGTGGCTCAAAGGATCACCACCCACTCCCCTCCTTCCCCAACTGGAAGAGTTATAAACATACCTATTATCAAAATAAAGTTACCAGTGGAGTAGGAATAGAGACTAAAGTTGTAAAGGGGAAAAAAAAAAGATGACAGATGGATAAATTCTTGGAGAAGCGAGGAAAGAGGAGTAGTCTTAAGCATGCACATGAAGGGCAGGGAAGGTGGGAGTTCACGTTTAGTAGCCTCTATCTTCTCTTTGCCGTAGAAAGTGAAGTCTACTACTGAGTGATGGACCCAAGGAAAACTTCTTTAGTTTTTGGAATAGTCATTAAAAAGAAGAAAGGAAAGAGCAAATCAATGATAAAAAACTGGCTGAGATGTAAAAACCCACTGCAGACTAGAAGAAAAGCCATGCATACATATACACAGGGCATCAGTCCTTTCAGTTAAAGAATTTCTCTTGCTGTATTTAGCAACTCTGGTAGGAGAACAGGCAGATTTTATAACCAACACAGAATCTGAAGTTTGCAGAATGCAAAGAGCACAATGACAAGGTGGCGAGAGAGCTTGCTGGCGGTAATTCATATGTAGGTCCATGGATTAGATGAGGAGATGAAGTTAGGACAGGACTGATAGTCTGGCGGGGAGAAAGGGAGAAGTCAAGAACAGGAAACATGATTAAGAATAACCAGGTGTAGGAGGAAAGGAGTAGGAGAGGTAGAAAGGTAAGAAGTTAGAGTAAGCTCCACATGGGCAGAGATGACGTCTGTTTTGGTCACCCCTGTTTAGTTAATCTAAAATAATAATAGTGTCTGCAAAATTTTCAAAAGAGTAATAAGATATCAGGGTTTAAGATTTGCCTGCTTTGACAAAATTGAGTGTTTGATCACTTATGTGAACTGAACAAAAAAGGAAAGCCAGGTCCCTAAAGTGAATAAGGTCAGGGAATATAGTGAGGGTTAAGTGATGACTACATCACTGATTGCATAGGTGAGCATACAGAAGATTCTGAAATGTGACAAAATCTATGTGTGAGGGACCAAGACATGTCGACAGATGACAGTGAAAAGGAACTGAGTGGGTAGAGCAAGACTGCTGAGGCAAGGAGAGAAATTTTGCTTGAAGGGTTAAACCAATGCTTCGGGAACAGCCCTGAAAAGGTAGAAGAACATAACTTCTCCCTTCTAGCCTTGAGACAACGGATAGGGGAAAAAAAGAGGATGCAGGAAAATAAGCAGCCTCTGCCAGGGAAGTGGTGTCCTTGGGAAAGTGCCAGTTTTCAGTTAAGGCCAGGAGGGGTAAGGAACATTATGTGAAGAAGAACAGGGGCTCCAGAAGGCAGAGTGAAAAGGGGTGGGAGGAAATCAGTGGGAGGATGAGCCAGGAGAGAAAGTACAGAGCAATATGGGAATGAGATTATGAAGATAAGAAGCCAGAAAGGCATGTATTTTGGTTATTGCAAGGATGCTAGGCATGACAGGCATGGAAACAATTAATGGCTGAAAGGTTTGAATCAGAACTTTGGAACAAAGCAGTTTTGGTACTGGTAGTGGTCCAAGTGTTCTCAGAGTCTGATTTCCTACAGCCTCTCAGATATTTTAACCAGAGAAAGAAAAGATTCTTACCCAGTGAGACCAGGTTTCCATAATTCTCCATCATGACATCTTTATACAGGCTTCTCTGTGCTGGATCCAGATAATCCCACTCCTCCTGGGTAAAAAACACAGCCACATCCTCAAATGTCAGCAACCCCTGAAATAGTACGATTTCTGTGGTCAGTTCTTGTTGTCTCAAGGACAATTCTACCACTGAAAGTAGAAGAAATCACTTATCAGGGCCGGGTAGGCTAGGAGGAACATGATAACCAAGAGTTCCAAATGGGGCCCAATTTTCTAACAGAAAAGCACCTCAAACTAGATGATAACTGAACTGGATCCTTGTCGTCAGTAGTGCTGGTCCTAAAGATAGAGCTTTTCTGGTTTAATAATTATACACTAACATTTATTCTAGTAAGCTGCCCCCAAACTCCCCAAGTTTCCTGCACTAACTGCCCAGCTCCAACTCTACCCCACTGGCTTGGGACCCTGTTCAATTCCATGAACTTCTCTAAGCGTCTACCTTGGGTCCAAGCATAATGACAGGCGCATAAAACACGGGGGAGGTTTAAAAATGGTGCCTCATTTGGAAGAACTCACAAATGAGGGCGCGTGTTTGGAACATTACAGATTTTCTTCACCTGATTTACCAAGTCGCTCTTAAAAAAAAAAAAAGGCCAAGTGGGAGCACTACGGGGTACTTCCCTGCACACATCGCTGGCCCTAAAGACCACGGTCAGGGGGTGGGGGGGGGGGGGGTCGGCCCTGCCCCGGTTCTCTCGGTGATACCCAGAGGGGGACTTACCTTTGGCTCCGGCGGGGGGCTCGGGGAGGCCATCTCCTGGACAGAAAATCAGGGCAGGAATCCGCGGCGGTCGCACGGAAAGAAGCCTCTCGTTAAGGCCTACCCAGCCTTTAGAAATTAGGCCCAACGAAGGCGAGGCCTCCAGGCTGGGTATGGCCAGGTCCTGCCTTGGTCCCCGAGCGGTCACGACCCCAGCGGCATATCAGACGCGCTCCTTGGCCGTCCCCCAACCCTAAATTCCCTCCCCGCCTAGCTGCGCAGACTTCCAGGCCTCGCTAGAGCCTCCTCCCAGTTGCCAGTTCCTCCTCCTTTCAGCCAAGGAGCGCTATGACCGCCCGCCCCCGGACCAGAAGGCGTCACCCGGAACCTTCCGGGACGCCCCCCAACTACAACTCCCGTCATGCTCTGAGAGAACGCCTCGGTCCAGCCTCCGCCGGCAATGGCCACCGGACTACATTTCCCGGCGTGCGAAGGGGGAGGGAGAAGCTAGTGGCACTTAACAGGAAAAAGGGAACATCTACCCCTAAGCTTACATGTGACTGGCTGGTCTTGGCCCGTCACTGCTCCCTGAGGGCAGAGCGCTAGCAAGCCGCTTTTTTCCGACATGGCCGCACTGTCAGCGTCCGGCGTTACCAGAAGAGGCCTCACGTGGATCGTCTTAGGGGCACCACGCAGAGAATTTTGGTCTCGACTCAGGTAAAGCGGAAGGTTGGATGGTGGGTCTCGTTCAGGGAAAGTAAGGAGAGAAACTGAGGAGGATAAAAGCACGAATTCGAAAGCGAGTGCCATGCTCTTGAGACGGGACCCTAGTCCTCCGCTTAGGTTAGGGTTAGGAGTCCAGAAGCGTAAGCGCGGGTCTCCTGGAATGGTGGGGGCCCAGTGTTGCCTGTTTTGTCAACTGATCATGGAGATACCGCTCTCTTTCCCTCCCACTTCGCTCATTAATTTATTAAGCAAACAGTACGGACCACTTGTTCCAGGCCCCGCGTGCGGTGTCCGGAAACAAAGGGTTCGTTTGGAACGAGCAATATAGAACATGAACGTGAAAGCGCTCGGTAAACGAAGTTCGTTTGCGCGGTGTCTTTCTTCACGCGCCGGATTCAGAAAGGAAGTGTGGCCTCCTCTTTTTGTTCGTTTGTGTATTCATTGATTCACTCAACAGACAGTTACTAAACGTCAGGTCTGGGTCAGCATTTCCCTAAGTAGTTTACAGTAGCGAAACAACGCCCATTCTCAGAGCTCCGACATATGGGGAAACTGAGGCTCCATGGAGAGGAAGTATTTTGCCAAAAGCAGGTAATGGCAGAGCTGGGACCAGAACCCAGGTCTTTGATTCCCCGTCTACGGCTTCTCCCACAGCACCCTGTGGAGTATTTTGAAGGTAAATCTGTTTGACTCACAGTGTTAGGACCTCAAACCTTGTGGGAACTTCAGGGAACAATTTATGCCCTCAGGGTTCAAGCAAAAACTCTTTTCCATCCGGAAGGATTTTTTTGTCATCTGTTCATGGATTTATTAGCTTCCCCTCTTTTTTGGTGAGTAGTAGTATCTCAAATCTCCTTCAGGTTTGTTTCAGTCACTCATTCATCACAAATTTATAGAGTGTCTACTCTGTGTCAGATGTTTCCTTGGTAGGGATACAGTTGTTAGTAAGTCTGACTAAATATTTGTCTTCATAGAGCATATATTCTGATGGAGGCAAAAACACAAACGTGGGATATAATTTTAGAAAGTGGTAAATTATGGAGAAAACTAGAGCAGTGTACTAGATAACTGAGATGGGAGGAATGGATTATATTTCATTCTGATGGTACTACTAGAGTAGTTTGGGGAGAAAATGGGAGGTGATGAAGTAGACACTGAAAGTGTAGACAACTCTGGGAGACTGGTAAGAACATGGAGTCTAAGGGGTATTTTTGTTTTTCTTTGAGGATGGGAGATTTTTAACAGCTTATTGTGTGCCCTGGGAACACTCTAGGAGGTAGAGAGAAAATGATAAAGAGTTGATGCAGAATGAGGGCTAAATTGCCTGAAGAATCTTTAAGTAGGTGAAGGAAAATAGTGCAACAAACCATATTCTTGGCCAGACATCCATCCATCCATCCATCCATCCATCCATCCATCCATCCATCTATTCTTCCTTCCTTCCTTCCATCTTTACCTTCCTCTCTCTTTCTTTCTTCTCTTTTTTCCCCCAGACATCTTTTTTTCTGCTGCTTCCCATTTCTGTAAGGATGAGCCATCCCAGTCTGTTACCAACTCCATGGAAAACAAGAGTCAGGTCATGAGCTAATATTTCATTAAGCACTGAAGTAGTGTATCAGGCAGATTTCCTGACATTGGCTCATGTACTCAGTAACAGTTATTCAAGCAGTTTTCAGAGGACTGCAGATCAATAAAACAGGTCTTCATGATAAATAAAACAGGAGTTTATAATTTGGTACAGTGGTTTTTAACCAGGGATAATTTGCCCATCTGGACATTTGGCAGTGTCATTTGGTTATGACTAGAGGACAGGAATGCTATGGCATTTACCCTACCCTGGACAGAGGCCAGGGATGCTGCTGGACTCTGACAATGAACATGATAGCCCCCTACAACAAAGAATTACCTGGTCCAAAATGTCAGTGTTTGAGCTCAGAAATCCTGATCTGGTTAGAGAAATAGAATGTAAAAAAATTAAAACTCAGGTAGGATGCAATATAATGTGCTACAGTAGATCAGAGGAATTTGCAGTTGTATTTGGGCAAATCAAGTAAAGCTTCTTGGAAGAGAACAGTTGTGTTCTAGGACTTAAAGTAAGATTCTATAGGTGAAGATGAAAGATAGGCATTTCCAATAGGATATAACTTGAGGTAACACATGACACCAGGAAAGAGGGAAACAGAATGTAGTAGTTTAGTTTGGGTAGGGCATAGAGTATATATAGGAGATTAGGAGATGAGGTTAGAGAGGTAGTTTGGGTTTAGAAACTGGGAATCCCAGGCAAATGATATACCTCTTTACCTGTTCTTGGAATTTTTAGAGCATGTAAAATCTATAATTTTTTTTCTGGGTGTACCAGACCAATTCAGTTATAAGCTTCCGAAGGCAGTTACCTACCTATCTTATTCTCTCCACAGGGCCTGGGAGAGTAGTAACTGTGCATATTATTTATTGAATTAGATAGATAAGATTGGGTCTGGTGTTTATCAGCTTGTCAGCTACATTAGTGCAGCTAACCAAAGATTCACATATTTGCTTTTGATCATTCCAGAAAAGAAACAAAGCCAGTGGTGGCTGAGACAGTGGAAGAGGTGAAGAAAGAACCTATTTTGGTGTGTCCGCCCTTACGAAGCCGAACATATATACCACCTGAAGATCTCCAGAGTTGTGTGGAATCTTGTGTCAAAGAAATTTTTGGCTCATCTGTACCTAGTAATTGGCAGGACGTGTCCCTGGAAGATGGTCATCTGAAATTCGGTTTGTTGGCACGTTTAGCTGATGACCTGGGCCATGCAGTGCCCAACTCCAGGCTTCACCAGATGTGTAGGGTCAGAGATATTCTTGATTTCTATAATGTGCCTATTCATGATAGATCTAAATTTGATGAACTTATTGCCGGTAACCTGCCTCCCAATTTAAAAATCACTTGGGATTACTGAGCAATTCAGAAGAGGAGCACGTTGAAATCATTTTGTCCTGAGCAAGGGGTTGGTTATTAGCCTTGATACTTTACCATGTAAAATGCTGTCAGAACTGTTTTCTAAACCCACTTTTTCTGTGGAAGAATGAATTACCTCTTTTTTTTCCTCATGTCATGAATTAACAGCAGGATTTTCTTTTTTCACATTTGCTGAAAAAAAATTTTTTTTAATGGAATCAAATCACCAATTGTGTATGAAAATTTCCTTCTCTGGAGGACACAGTAATTAAATTTGTTCCTACGATGTGAGGCTATTATATGTTCAGACATGATGTTTATTCTTCATAGGCATAAAACATGGTTTTATGCAAAAACACGTTTTAAAATAACATGTTTTAATCCTGTTAGGACTCTTAAATCTAAGGTGGTATTATGTATAGGATAAATGCAAATAAGGAAACTTGGATATTTGTAAAAGAAATGTAAAAATCTATGTTGTTTATTTTAGCAAGTTGTTTCTTTCACTGCTTTACTTCACAAATAGAAATAGAAAATGGTAGTGTTCATTCTAGATTAAGCTCTTGGAATTAAAGTACATTTTTTGAAGAGTGTTGTGTGTTTTAACTTTTTTTAAAGTGAAATTTGCTTCTCTGTCTTGTCATTTCCTTAATTTAAGTATTATGAATGAAAAAGTATATGCCAACTAGGAAATGCTATAACTTTTTTAAAAATAAGAGAGATGCCAGATTCTATATCTAAATGAATATTCTCTTCAAAGGAGATGATGCTTATGTCAAATCCTTTATCTTTTCTGTCACTTTTTTCTGACAGAAGGGGCATGCACTTTAGCGGGGCAGGGGGTGGGATGCAGAGGGAGTGGGAGAGAGAATCTTAAGCAGTCTTCATACCCAGCATGGAGCCATGATGTAGGGCTTCATCTGATGACCTGAGCTGAAATCCAGAGTTGGCCACTTAACCAAGTAACCCAGGTGCCCCATTATCTGTAACTTTAAAAGTGGCTTTGAGTACCTACCGATGTCCACTAGGGTGGTCTTTGCAGACTTTGGTGTAGGTACTCAATTTGTGGGAAATACTCAAGTAGCTAGTTACCAAATAGTTCTGAACTATAGATGTTAAGTGAGGAAGGGATTAAATTAGGAATTATTTTTGTTTAGACTTCAGATATGGCTAGACAGTAATAAGACGGAGAAGGAATTTCATGTATTTTATCTTGACCACTAATAGTTCTGAAAGAAAAGTGATAGTTTTTATATGAAGGAAATTGCATATATTCTCTTTTCCAGGGTGACTTCTTTGAAGTGGGCAAAAGTCAGATGGTTATATAAATTCTGGCATATTAATAAAATTGGTTACATTATGGTCATACCCATAAATGTCATCAGCAGACGATGAGATTTTTAATAATCTGCACATTAAAGAACATCAGAAGTTTCCGAAGCCCTGGAGCTTAAATATCAGAGCTGATAAATTTCTTCTATGTGAGAAAGTTTCTGTATGGAAATAGTTGAATTTAACTTACAGGATTTGATTATCTCATTTCCCACACATCTTTTACTTCTGGAGACACAGAAAAATGTGCAAAGGGCATGATGGAAGTAATAGATAGTAAAGGGAGTGTGGAAAAAACACTTGGTTTCACCTGGAGAGCTGCAAAACCTGGCTGCATATGGGTGTAGAGGCAGAAGGACTTACTTCTTTGTAACCTGGAGCAGTGTTTCTCAAAATTTAACGTGCATATGAATTACTTGGAGATCTTTTTAAAATGCAGATTCTGATTACATAGATCAAGAGTGGGTCCTGAGCTTCTGTATGTCTAAAAAACTACTACACAATGCTGTTCATGTTTTGAGTAACATGACCCTAGACCCTAGTATTAAAGTGGGAAAGTACCATCCCTGAAGCAGTGGTCCTGAAACATTGAGCAAGATAAACAAGAAAAACCACCTCCATTAATAACACTAGAAGGTGTCACTTGTTTGACAGTCCAATGCA